GGGATTCGAATCCAGGGTCTTAAGTCTCGCGCGCGAACGCTTAATGTACTGGACCACTGAGCCGGCATGCAATGGTGTTCGTGTGTTAATTTACGGGTGAGATAATTGTCCAACTGACAGTGTTTATTTATGTTTGGTTATAAGTTCAGTCTTATACCCTAAAGATTATTACTGGATAAGTTTAAAGATTGAAAATATATATTACATTTTATTGTATACATCAATTCAAAACATAGAAACCATTGAACTTCATATGTTATCATCACTTTGCATAAAGCTTGATAATCTTTAAGGTTATTAATACAACTTTATTCATAATATAAACTCGATAACAACTAAAAGATATAATGGATATAATCGATTATTAGAATTGCATGATGTAATATAATTTTTTATTTACTTAAATCACATTTTTTATCTGATTTTATAATAAATCAAAATACAGTTTTAAAAGATTCAATTCCTTACACTTCAATAATTTGTTTTAATTGTAATGTTTTTTGTTGTGACTTTAAGTCCGGCTAGTTATCATATAATTTATTTGCCAATCAAAATACAACTTAATCCCTCTTATATTTTACTGAACCAATGACGTTCAATTGGTCTGACCAGCTCAGTGTCCTTATTGGTCCTTTCCTCCCTTAGCCCTTTCAATTGAGTCCGGAACACTAATAAAAGCTTCCGCTAAGCGAATCATTTATTTCAGACATACTGGGTTTATATATCGACCAAACAGACCTTAATGCACTGTAAAATAGGAAATAACATTTATTACACAATAAGGCCAAAATGTGGTTGTGAACGTAGGAGATGGTAATTAATAAACTGAGTATAATTTAAGAACAGTAAATCGTACAATAATGATATATAGATCAAAATGAAGCTTATAATAAGTGGAATATGGATATACATAATCTAATTATTGAACAATTATACCATAAGAATATATAGATAATATTAATCCATTCATAGGTTTCAGCAGTTACTCATAATTTAATCTTTGCTAGGACATAACAGTTTTCTTAAAAATATAAATTACATCAACAGTTTCTAATAGCAACATATTTATACAAAATTATAAATGGTTCTAAGAATTAAACTTATTATATAAAATTATGTTCAGAGTATTTTTTGATTAATTTATTCAGTAATTCGATGAAATGTAGAAATTAATTAGTTTCAAGTTAATAAAACAATCATCTAACTTGTTTAAATGTAAGGTTCATTAAAAACAGCCTCACACGTCGAATTTCTACGAAATGCATTCATTAATCAAAATACATTTAGGTATGCAATTATCATTATTATTATTATTATTATTATTATTATTGTTATTATTATTATTATTATTATTAGAGGGTATAATATTGTTAAATAATCGGTTGAATATCTTATTCAATTTTTCTTCTAACTAGTCCATAGTTTCTCTAAAGTCAATTTTTAAATTCAATTATGAACAGTTTAAATATGAGAAGTAACCAAGTGAAATGTAATAATGTTTTAATCTTAATTTATTGTTTCATTCTAAACATTCACTAAACTTGTTTACAATGTAATTGATAATTCAATTTAATTTTTCTTAAATCAATTAGTTATAATATTTGATGACATTTGTTTTCTTTTTTTGTAGAATAAACATGCACTTCGAGTAGGTATATGCATATCAAAATTCGTTATTAACCTTTTTTACTGTGATAATTTCTAGAATTTAACATCAAAAAATAATCAAAACTAAACATTATTAAACTGCTTATCTCTTGAATTATTTTTTTTTCTGGGAAAAGAGTAATTCATATAAAATGAAGATTCAATGAATATGATGGATTCGAAATTAAATCAGTGAAATTTAACAATAGTAAGAATATGAAAAAGGAGTTTTGTGAAGATTGTAGTAATTTAATAGTTGAATTTATGAGTTGATTAAAGCTAGATCATCGTAGAGAACTTGAAAGCACTGAACGGACATTTCGTCTCAGTATAGGACTTTTCAAACCCAGGACATTCGGTTTTGCATGCATACGCTTAACCTTTAAGTCACTGAACCGGTATTAAACGATGTTAATGTTCAACTTCAATTAATCCACGAAATTGCGCCACTGTCCACCATTGTCTTCAGTGAATTACTGACTCACAAGTGATACGATTGAACTCCACTGGTCACAGTTAGTCACTGGAACTCTAGGAAATACCTCTTGAAGCGCGAGACTGAAGGTCCTAGGCTCGAATCCCGCGAGAGGGATTGTGGATGCGCACTGCTGAAGAGTCCCATACTTGGACGAAACGGCCGTCCAGTGCTTTCAGGTTATCTATGGTGGTCTAGCTTTAATCGACTCATTAATTCAACTATTAAATAGTAAGAATATTCTAGTCTAAACATAAAATTATTTTTAAAGTTTAAATAGGACGATTGTATCTGAACTTGGTGATGGCAGTGAAACTGTTGATTAACAAATCCTTGGTCCAAACAAAAATAACAGGTTCAATTCTTAGTAAATAAAACATGCAAATATATTCATTATGAATTTAATTTTTCTATAATATGGTTTACTTTTTAGTTATTTAATCGATATTATGAAAGTGAATTTCTTTAGTTACTTTAATACAATAAAATTTTAGAATTATATTTTCTAAGTTAATATCATGTTGCTTCTTAATATTAATTATTGAAGATTTAAGTCTGAAGTAGATGATTTTAGTAACATTATGTTCTCTGAGTTGGCTTTTTATTAATCATAACAAAATATCCAACGTTTATACATGTGATAGTGGCCTTTTTAACCATCTCATTAAAGAATAATAAATTCATTCTAATTCTCTTGTTTGTAACTGGTTATCTCAGAAAGTTCTGTTGTTCTTCACTGTTCTGTCATTTAATATAAAATTAGTTTCTCCTCAGCCAATTTTTCAAAATATTTTCTCAAAGTATTCAAGTTATGATGATAGAGTAGTTAATTATTTTTGTTATTTTACATTTGCAATTGTCAGAAATTCTAGAAAACAGAATACTTTGTTATACTATACGAATACTTATGCAAATTTTATAAGCTAGGCGAAGTTAAATATCAAGTTGTACGGTTTTATACTATTTCTAAAGCTCTATAGAGATGGACACCCACTACATCACATAAGACCGAGCCCAAAACCATTAGATTTTGCATCAGTTACAACACCATTGTGATTCTGGATTTAATAGATTCATATTTTGTAACTTTATTTAATTCGTGGTATAGTCCAAGGAGCCAGAATATGTGAAAATTTTTAATAGGAATTAGATCACTTCAAATCATTCAACAAAAACAGTCCGGTTGGATGTAATAGTTATGCACCGTCCATAGGGGAAATATTCAGTGAGATTACAATTTATGGACGACATTTGAGCAACGCTAAAATGACCTTGGAATGTCCACTCACTTACTAGAGTTGAATGAGGGTTATAGATTAGTGTGAAGGAATTAGGATAAGGATTTACAATTGAACTTTAGGGTTAAGAATTAGATTTGATGTACCATCACAGACTGACATCATCTATAATGTCAAATAGATGTTTAACCTCTGAGCTGGATGGTTTGGTCACGACCAAACCATCCAGCTTAGAGAACAAAACTCCACCATAATCATCCACCTGAGCTACAAATCTTCTCCACCATCTCAAGATGTTTAACCAAGTGAGTGAATGAATTTCGCTCCGCAATTCAAAACCTGCTATCTTGAATATGATTGGTTCGTCCATAAATTATAGTCTCGCCAAATATTCCTGTTTTTTCTTCAAAGAACTAAAATTATTTTCTTAAATAGTTCTATTTATGATTCAATGTTTAGATCCACATTTATTTATTATTCAACCAATCCTAAGTAATAAAATGCTTTCTACAAATATTGATTTAAATGACCAAAAATCCACATTTTGGTAAAGGTTTGTGAACTTAAGTGCCGGTTTCAAATGAATACTCTATTAGAAGCTGTATACTTAGTCTTGAATATACCATATCCATACACCAGCTGACTAGTAACTGTTAAAAAACACCACTGCCCACATAATAAAGCTTTAGGGTTAGTGATTCAATAATTATACAATATTATCATGGATAATATGACAAGACACTTTTATAAAAAGCACCTAATTTTATGAAACTGAATTTACTTAGCACATAAAATTCATGGTTATCATGGTGACAATGAGTTCATGAAGAGTTTTCCTAAATGTTCAATAATGGATACTTTGTTCTCTTACTATAAGAGCAAGTACAAAATAAGATTGTATTGTGCTTATGTAGGTTCCACTACGTTAATTATATCATCTTGTAAATAGTTATCAAAATACTGTTTAAAGTAAACGATTGCACTATAAATTAACTTTATATATTTTATAGGGTTATAAGTTTGCTTAAAATATGCAAATACGCCAATCAGATTTTATAAATTATGCCTAGATATTGTTGTCTATCGAAATTTACTCAAGAGTATATGCATTTATATAAATAGACACCGTGTTATCGGATTGAGTTATTGAATTATATTCCAGTGATATTTAAGTTCTGTGGTAATTCAGATATGAATTTTGATTGCAAGATCTGTATATATTAGTTTAACATTGCAGATCGTTTTTGTTTCGAACAATGATGCCAGCTATCTCGGAAATAAATACGTTACTCAACATTATCACAATTTGATTGCGATTGGGGTTGATGAGAAGTTCTGTACTATGATTTTAATCCTATGTTGTTTTTATTAGTGTCCTAGTTGATATCCATCCCTCATATAAAACATTTACAAACAAACAGTCATTGCACATATGAGACAATACGATAAATGTTCCTGTAGGTTTATAACTGGCCATTGAATACAAGTTTTGTTTTAAAAACCTTCATTACTTTGTCATAGTATAAAAAAATATTTAACTTTGAAAACAGTTAATCTATTACCAGTAACATATATAGTTTAAACTATATTTTAAACCATTACTCTTATTATAATTTTTCTCTTTTCATTTTCATTTTTAGTAATCTTTGGTATTATATTAATTATTCTACTTGGTATATTAATTTACTATTGTCGTCTACGATATTCACGTTATCAATCTGCTTATGATACAGATGAAGCACTTGGAAATCATTTTCAATCCGCTGAACATGCATTACAACAAAAATATCATAATCATCCTGATGTTAAAGCAGAATTGTATATATAATAATTATAATTATTCTTTATGTATAGATTCACGATAATAAATAAATTAGTTTGTTTTTAAACAACAACAAAAATGGATCAATTAATTAATCAATAATTGTACATTGTACATTGATATGTAAAATATATTGATATAAATAAGTATATGAAATGAGTTTAAAAATTTGAAAAATCACACACATACACACACACACATATGCCCACACACACACACACGCCCACATACATACATAAACATACGATGTATAGGTGATGAATACGTTTGACATTTAAAACGAAAAGAAAAAAAACAACAATTCTTATGATTATTTCTTTTTCTCAATGTTTATGTACAAATTTAATTTCTCCTTTTTTCTCATTATTGATATATATATATATATATATATATATATATATATATATATATATATATATATATTCCCATATAGTTTATCTTTTATCATGTATTTATATTTGTATAGAAATTTAATAAAACAAATTAACATCAAACGTATCTCTTATTATAATTATGCTTAATGTGTGTTTTATTAAAATAATTATGACGTAATTTTAAAGAAATTTATTCATTGAAATATATTTCATTGATTTCTTTTGGATAAAATCCATTATATGATCCATGAATGTAACATTTTTTTGTCATAGTTTATTATGATCTGAGTTTACATGGAACTTCTTTGATTTTCTTTATTTCCAAAAAAAATTAGGTTTATAGTTTTGTTGTTGTTGTTGTTATGTAATTTGTGTGTTTTGTTTAAAAAAACAAACATTTTTTTAAAATAAGTAAAATTTAATTGATTCAATGTTTCAATGATACTTTAATCTCTGTCGCTCACTCGCTCGCCCTCGCTCTCTCTCTTTTTTTTGTATTATCTATAATCTGAAGTATAATTTTTCTATGGAACTTTTATGATATTTTTTTCTGTTATTATTTTTGATTTATTATGAATGTTTATTTCAAAAGGAAAAAATAAAATTCATAAATTATTATTCTATTTGTTATTTGTGACTTTTTATAAAGAAAAATAAAATAACAACAAGTTTAATATTCATATACAATTGAAGTCAATTGAAGCTAGACCACCATGGAAAACCTGAAAGCACTGAACTCATTATTTCAATCAGTGAAATTTCTCAAATCTCCACAAAACCTCTTCTGATAATAATCATCCGCTCACTAGTGACTGATTTCAAGAGATACTCCTGGAGTTTTAATGGGAAGCCGTTACCAGTGGAGTTCAACCAGGTCTGTTGTGAGATATCAACTTACTGAAGACAATGGTGTACGGTGGCGCAACTTCATGGATTGGTTGAAGTTAGACATTAACAACGTCGGATGCCGGTTCAATGGTCTAGTTGGTTAAGCGCCTGGCATGAGGCTGATAGGTTCGAATCTCGCGGGGTGCGGGATCGTAGATGTGCATTGCTGAGGAGTCCCATACTAGGAAAAAACGGCCGTCCAGTGCTTCCAGGTTCTTCATGGTGATCTAGCTTCAATTGACTCATGATTTCAACCAGTGAAATTTCTAAAATCTCCACAAAATCCCTTCTGATATACAATTATTGTCAATTTTATTATTATATACTATCGTTTATTTTAAGCAAAGGCGGATAGGGGCTTGGAAGGGGGATCGAGGACGCTCGTTTCGTTCTCTTTGGGACTTATCAACTTGACATACTTGCATCTCAGAGTTGATGTTCATTCTGGGACTTGAACCTATGACTATTCGTCTCAAACGTCATCGCATTATCTACTAAGCAAAAATAAATAATGCTTATAATGCTTGTGAATTAAGGCAATACGCACAGTGTGTACATATGTTAATAAGAGACTGATCAATTGCAGTCCTAAACATCAATGGAAAGATTCAAGTAAACAATACCAAGTGGATTTATTGTTTATTTTTATTGACTAACTGATGGCTAAATATTATTAACTTAATAATTTAGATGGTCTCGTAAATATTAACTACATTTTATTACTTTACAATAGTTGTACTAACCCTAGAAAATTCATTTTACATAAGAATTATTATGTCTGTTGAAAGAAAGCTGACTTTCGTTTGTAACAATCTAATTTCCATCGTACATCAATTAACAATAAATTTCTATTATCTGTTAAGATATTAATATTTATCTGTAAAATATATGGCAAAAGTAAGTAGATTAGGAAAAGCTGAGCATATGCGGTATGAAAACTATAATCGTATAACATTAATTTAAAGTGCTAAGGACTTAAATAGTTTTTGGAATTCAGTTGAGGCTTGAATATATCAGTTGTAAAATCTCTGAATTTGACATTAGTTTAAAGCTTACATAAACTATCAAGTTCCTTATGATTACAGATACACCTTCCCACTAAAACTCATTGAAAATGATGATTCTACAATCAGATGAGTTAGGCTTCTTTCAAACGAATCTCATAATTAGTCAATTAGTAAGATACAAATAAGACTGTAGTTTAATTTTCAAATCTTTTTTGATCAATATTATTTACAAATCAGTATACATGATTCATTTAAAAACTAAAATGACAAATTTAAGAATAAGACCAGTGTAAACAAATTTACATAACTAAATAAAACTAGGTGTATAATTAAAAATTTACACTTCATAGAATTTTCAAACTAATTTTTCTATACGGTTCAGTGACTTGTATTCAGCAAAACATATAGTGCATACTTCAATTAACAGTAAATCATAAGCGTAACGTAAGTATTACCTTTATAGTCTGTAATAAAATAGTATGGTAAACTTTAAAACTATTAGTTGTTCACTATAATCATTCGACCCGATTTACCAACTTAAGGGAAGTTTAACAGAATCAAATTGTTGTATCCCGATAGGAATAATGAATGATAATTTTTGGGATCCATTTATGGACCAATATTATGAGTATATTTTTACCGTATAATTGTTATGTAACTAAACTGTTCATATTCATGTCCCTCTTATTGTAAGCTTTATTTTGACCTATGAACTATTATTATACGGTTTACCATTCATGAATTATTCCCTGTCTGTTAATCACTACCTCCCTCATTCACAGCCACTTCTGGCTAATTCTTGTACAAATGTTGTTTCATATTTTATTGGTACGTTGTGGTCTGTTTGTTTGGTATATAAACTCAGTGTGCTTGAAATATAATGATTCATATCTCAGAGGCTGAGACTTGCGTTCTGGACTCAACTGGCTGGGCTAGACAGGGAAGTGGGGTCAATCAGAACTCTAGGCCGTCCTTACGTGTTTACGCGTCTTTGGTCCAATCGATAATACGCTGCTCCATAATCTGTAGTCACGAGTTATAACACTAATGTCGCTGATTATCACATGAAATTGTTTCCTTTATATACATAAATGGAGAAACTTAAAGTAACATGAATCGATGTAATTAGTTTCGACCTGAATAATTATTTTATCTCACAGATCAGTAGATATTAGTTAACCAACTAACGTATAGTGGTTGATAACCTCATAATGAAAACCAATTTCTATTTATTGTTTATACTAAAATTGATGAGAATAAATGAGTATTTATGCTACTAAACAAAAGTTGTTTTGATTGAAATTACTCACCTACCTTCATATGATAGATCTGTTACTTAAACAATTGAAATATCTTAATCATGTTGATATCGTAAATAAATGTCTACAGGAGGCTCTTTTTATTTTATACAGGTATCTTACAATTTTTTGTGTTCTGTTTAAACTAAACATACTAAATAAAAAGTACCCATTCAAATTCCAAAGTAAGAAACCGAGTACTCTTACAATACTTAAGATCTATTATCTTTTTTATCTTGGTTTTATCATCTAAATTGTTAATAATAATGATTTTTCTTCTCCTTTCGTTGTTTTTTTTTTCTAAAAATGATTAATCGTTCAGTAGCTTCCCTTGTCAGATTTGATTAGTCCTATAGCGCTTATCAAGTTCTATCGACCATCACTAGTCTAGGTAACTTAACATTGTATTCACTAAGCTGAGATGTTAGATGGTTGAGGCTAGTCAACAGAAAAACATGAACTGGTGATCATATAACAATCTGGCGGAAAAAACTCAGCCCTAAGGGACTAAACAGATATGGGGTTGAGGACTAATCAGTGATCAATCATCTGTAAACATTTGAGTCCTGCAGTATGCCAGTTGTGACTTTTAAAGCTCAATAGTAGTGTCAAAAACTGTAAAGCTGAAGAACTTAGGTTCGAATCCACCGAAAAGCATCAATCCGATCATGATTACAAGTAGATATTGCTAACGGGTGTCAACTATCAGGAATCCTAGGTCTACAGTTTCCTTTCGTCTACCTCCAACTGCCTAACAATAATATTCCCCAGATTATATTATCCAACTATTTCATTATTTTTCAAAAACCTAGACATCTTTACAAATGACTGGAAAAGCATTAAGGTTATTAGTAAAAATGATGTTTATTGTTTTGAAAAATTTGGTCAAGGCATATCGTTTGAATGTACCGGCAGACTGAAATAATACAATAAAGCTTTCGATGTCACTGGAGTAGCTGGAATACATTTAAAAGTACACGTTTATTATTGAATTCAAATGTGTTTTTAAGAAACGTACAACTTCAGATGATGATCATGATTTCATAGATCAGGCATACAAATTTTGAATAAAACTTTTAGCACTAAAAAAATGCTTATTGATTCACTAAAAAAATAGAGACGTTTCAGTGAAGAAACGTTTCTTTACGAACATATTTTCTGAAACTGTACAGTCGTATTTATAGGCAGCTTTTTACATGTCGTATTTTATGGTAAAATAGATTACTGTCGCAAGATCATCAAACAAGGAGAAACGAATTCAAGTCTCGGGCATGAAGGTCAATGAAAATGATGTGGTATTACATAACATAGTCAACATTACCGAAAGGTTTCAAGTACTGAATATAATAATTTATAAATAGAAGAATGTCCTTTCAACGTAATTAAAGCTATCGAAAGTTTTCAAGTATTAAAAAAGAGGTTATTACATCATTTAGCAGAAAATTATAATGTGGTCTATCACCGTCTTAATTCAATAATGATAATATTGGAATATAATGACATAAATAATTTCCCTACTTTTTTTCTGTTTACTTTTATATAAAGTAATCCATTTATTTCTGTTATGTTGTTGATAAACAATCGTAAACTACTAAACACTTCTAAGGTATTTCTTCTATCAGTAATGTATATTTTCATACAAATGATGATCACGGATGTTGAAAAAAAATTTTTACTTTCTGAAAGTAATTTTAAACAACGCACTTCTGATATAACTACGAAACCAAAATTAAAAATGATGGCTCTCGAATCTGAATACTCAGATTATCTATGTTATTGATGATGAAATAATAAAAACATTCTAAATTGACAAATTTA